CACACACAGTCTACTGTAATAAACACACTATACTAACAAATAGCACACACACAATCTACTGTAATAAACACACTATACTAACACATAGCACACACACACAATCTACTGTAATAAACACACTATACTAACACATAGCACACACAAACTCTACTGTAATAAACACACTATACTAACACATAGCACACACAGTCTACTGTAATAAACACACTATACTAACATAGCACACACACACAGTCTACTGTAATGAACACACTATACTAACATAGCACACACACACAGTCTACTGTAATAAACACACTATACTAACACATAGCACACACACAGTCTACTGTAATAAACACACTATACTAACACATAGCACACACACACAGTCTACTGTAATAAACACACTATACTAACACATAGCACACACACACACAGAGTCTACTGTAATAAAGACACTATACTAACACGTAGCACACACAGTCTACTGTAATAAACACACTATACTAACACATAGCGCACACACACACAGTCTACTGTAATAAACACACTATACTAACACATAGCACACACACACACAGTCTACTGTAATAAACACACTATACTAACACGTAGCACACACAGTCTACTGTAATAAACACACTATACTAACACATAGCACACACACAGTCTACTGTAATAAACACACTATACTAACACATAGCACACACACACAGTCTACTGTAATAAACACACTATACTAACATAGCACACACACACAGTCTACTGTAATAAAGACACTATACTAACACATAGGCACACACACAGTCTACTGTAATAAACACACTATACTAACACATAGCACACACACAGTCTACTGTAATACACACACTATACTAACACGTAGCACACACAGTCTACTGTAATAAACACACTATACTAACACATAGCACACACACACAGTCTACTGTAATAAACACACTATACTAACACATAGCACACACACACACACAGTCTACTGTAATAAACACACTATACTAACACGTAGCACACACAGTCTACTGTAATAAACACACTATACTAACACATAGCACACACACAGTCTACTGTAATAAACACACTATACTAACACATAGCACACACACACAGTCTACTGTAATAAACACACTATACTAACATAGCACACACACACAGTCTACTGTAATAAAGACACTATACTAACACATAGTCACACACACAGTCTACTGTAATAAACACACTATACTAACACATAGCACACACACAGTCTACTGTAATACACACACTATACTAACACGTAGCACACACAGTCTACTGTAATAAACACACTATACTAACACATAGCACACACACACACAGTCTACTGTAATAAACACACTATACTAACAAATAGCACACACACACAGTCTACTGTAATAAACACACTATACTAACATAGCACACACACACAGTCTACTGTAATAAAGACACTATACTAACACATAGGCACACACACAGTCTACTGTAATAAACACACTATACTAACACATAGCACACACACAGTCTACTGTAATAAACACACTATACTAACACGTAGCACACACAGTCTACTGTAATAAACACACTATACTAACACATAGCACACACACACAGTCTACTGTAATAAACACACTATACTAACACATAGCACACACACACACACAGTCTACTGTAATAAACACACTATACTAACACGTAGCACACACAGTCTACTGTAATAAACACACTATACTAACACATAGCACACACACAGTCTACTGTAATAAACACACTATACTAACACATAGCACACACACACAGTCTACTGTAATAAACACACTATACTAACATAGCACACACACACAGTCTACTGTAATAAAGACACTATACTAACACATAGGCACACACACAGTCTACTGTAATAAACACACTATACTAACACATAGCACACACACAGTCTACTGTAATACACACACTATACTAACACGTAGCACACACAGTCTACTGTAATAAACACACTTATACTAACACATAGCACACACACACACACAGTCTACTGTAATAAAGACACTATACTAACACATAGGCACACACACACACGGTACTAATAATGTAGCAGGCACTAACAACACAAGTCCCAAGGACGCTTTGGACGCGGGGCCGCCCATTGCGAAACCCGCGAGGTGCCCGGAGCCGAACCCCGTGGCACTGAACCCCCCCGCGGGGTCCCCGAGACACCCCCGCGGGGTCCCCGAGACACCCCCGCGGGGTCCCCGAGACACCCCCGCGGGGTCCCCGAGACACCCCCGCGGGGTCCCCGAGACACCCCCGCGGGGTCCCCGAGACACCCCCGCGGGGTCCCCGAGACACCCCCGCGGGGTCCCCGAGACACCCCCGCGGGGCCCCGGCACCAACCAGGGGGTGGTGGTGGCGGCGGCGTCCTGACGAGAAGTCCCCCGAGCGAATCCCGCAGGGAGCCAAGGGGGTGATGATGGTGGTGGTGAGCAGTGGTGATGGTGAGGAGTGGTGATGATGGTGGTGATGATGGTGGTGAGGAGTGGTGTTGAGGAGTGGTGGTGATGATGATGGTGATGATGGTGGTGAGGAGGAGGAGCAGGAGTGGTGAGGAGTGGTGGTGAGTGGTGGTGATGATGGTGGTGAGGAGGAGTGGTGAGGAGTGGTGGTGAGTGGTGGTGATGATGGGGGTGAGGAGTGGTGGTGAGGAGTGAGACGGAGCAGCGCAGTGTAGACTCCGGGACTCGCCCTCGCCTCTCACAATGGGGGGAGGGGGGAGGGGGGGGCCGCGCCTTCCGCATTCCTCGCTCACGGCGCTCATCAGCATTCGTGGCCACGGCGGCGTGATGGGGGTGTGATGATGGTGATGTGATGATGGTGATGTGATGATGATGATGGGGGTGTGATGATGGTGATGATGGGGGTGTGATGATGGTGATGTGATGATGGTGATGATGTTGGTGTGATGAGGGTGATGATGGGGGTGTGATGAGGGTGATGATGGGGGTGTGATGATGGTGATGATGGGGGTGTGATGATGGTGATGATGGGGGTGTGATGATGGTGATGATGGGGGGTGTGATGATGGTGATGATGATGGGGGGTGTGATGATGGTGATGATGGGGGTGTGATGATGGTGATGTGATGATGGGGGTGTGATGATGAGGGTGATGGGGGTGTGATGATGGGGGTGTGATGATGGTGATGATGGGGGTGTGATGATGGTGATGATGGGGGGTGTGATGATGGTGATGATGATGGGGGGTGTGATGATGGTGATGATGGGGGGTGTGATGATGGTGATGATGATGGGGGGTGTGATGGTGATGATGGGGGTGTGATGATGGTGATGATGGGGGTGTGATGAGGGTGATGATGGGGGTGTGATGATGGTGATGATGGGGGTGTGATGATGGTGATGATGGGGGTGTGATGATGGTGATGATGGGGGGTGTGATGATGGTGATGATGATGGGGGGTGTGATGATGGTGATGATGGGGGTGTGATGATGGTGATGTGATGATGGGGGTGTGTTGATGAGGGTGATGGGGGTGTGATGATGGGGGTGTGATGATGGTGATGATGGGGGGTGTGATGATGGTGATGATGGTGATGATGGGGGTGTGATGATGGGGGGTGTGATGATGGTGATGATGGGGGGTGTGATGATGGTGATGATGATGGGGGGTGTGATGATGATGATGGGGGTGTGATGATGGTGATGATGGGGGGTGTGATGATGATGGTGATGATGGGGGTGTGATGATGAGGGTGATGGGGTGTGATGTTGGTGATGATGATGGGGGTGTGATGATGAGGGTGATGGGGGTGATGGGGGTGTGATGATGGTGATGATGGTGATGATGGGGGGTGTGATGATGGTGATGATGGGGGGTGTGATGATGGTGATGATGGGGGTGTGATGATGGTGATGATGGGGGTGTGATGATGGTGATGATGGTGATGATGGGGGGTGTGATGGTGATGATAATGGGGGTTTGATGATGGGTTGTGCAATGATGGTGATGATGATGGTGATGATGGTGATGGGGGTGTGATGTTGGTGATGATGATGGGGGTGTGATGATGGTGATGATGGGTTGTGCAATGATGGTGATGATGATGGGGGGTGTGATGATGGTGATAGGGTGATGGTCGTGTGATGCGGGTGTGATAATGGTGATGTGATGATGGGCGTGGTGTGATCGTCATCATGGTGATGCAGCAGTCGTGATGGTGGTGATGATGGTGTGCTGATGGTGATGGGGTGGTAATGATCATGCGGGATAATTTTTATGATGGGGTAATAATGGGGATGGGGTGCTGATGATGGTGAGTATGAGATGGGGGTGGTGTGATAATGATGGTAATTGATATTGCCACGATTGTCATGGCAGTGATGGTGGTGGTGGTGATGATGATGGGACTATTGATTATGATGGAGGGAGCTGTGATAACGATGATGATGATGGGAGGGTGGAGGTGTGATGGTGGTGATAATGGGGATGTGGGTGTTGGTGGTGGTGACAACGTTAGCATGCCGATGTTGGTGGTGGTGATAATGGCCTGACATACACTGTGACATGTCAATACAGTATATACTGTATGTACAATATACATTGTACATACAGTGTATACTGTAGCACCACGACCATCATTATCGATGATTAATTGTGATTGATCTCAGGCTGTGACGGCTCATGCACAATCATCCGGACGCAGCTGCTCTTACTGATGTTGCCCTTTATGCTGATGCTGCTGATGGTTATGATGATGTTGCTGATGGTTATGATGATGCTGCTGATGGTTATGATGATGTTGCTGATGGTTATGATGATGTTGCTGATGGTTATGATGATGCTAATGGGCTCTTGCTGTTGCTGCTGATAACGCGACGTTGGTGGTGATGTTGATGTTGAACTAATTATGATGATGAGTTGTAGCTGATGGTAATAACAATAATGATGAGCTTATTATAATGGTGGTGGTTGTGATGTCGTCTCGTACCCAGCGAGGAGGCAATCGATCCGGGCGCGGCTCCGTGCAGTGCAGTTTCTCTCTCCTTTCACTCTCTCTTAACTCTCCCTTCCTCTCCCTTCCTCTCTCTTCCTCTCTCTTAACTCTCTCTTAACTCTCCCTTCCTCTCTCTTCCTCTCCCTTCACTCTCTCTTCACTCTCTCTTCACTCTCCCTTCACTCTCTCTTCACTCTCTCTTAACTCTCCCTTCCTCTCTCTTCCTCTCCCTTCACTCTCTCTTAACTCTCCCTTCCTCTCTCTTCCTCTCCCTTCACTCTCTCTTAACTCTCCCTTCCTCTCTCTTCCTCTCCCTTCACTCTCTCTTAACTCTCTCTTAACTCTCCCTTCCTCTCTCTTCCTCTCTCTTCACTCTCCCTTCCTCTCTCTTCCTCTCCCTTCACTCTCTCTTAACTCTCTCTTAACTCTCCCTTCCTCTCTCTTCCTCTCCCTTCACTCTCTCTTAACTCTCCCTTCCTCTCTCTTCCTCTCCCTTCACTCTCTCTTAACTCTCTCTTCACTCTCCCTTCCTCTCTCTTCCTCTCCCTTCACTCTCTCTTAACTCTCCCTTCCTCTCTCTTCCTCTCCCTTCACTCTCTCTTAACTCTCCCTTCCTCTCTCTTCCTCTCTCTTCACTCTCTCTTCACTCTCCCTTCCTCTCCCTTCACTCTCTCTTCGCTCTCTCTTCACTCTCCCTTCCTCTCCCTTCACTCTCTCTTCACTCTCCCTTCACTCTCCTTTCACTCTCTCTTCACTCTCCCTTCCTCTCTCTTCACTCTCCTTTCACTCTCCCTTCACTCTCTCTTCACTCTCCCTTCACTCTCCTTTCACTCTCTCTTAACTCTCCCTTCCTCTCTCTTCCTCTCCCTTCACTCTCTCTTAACTCTCCCTTCCTCTCTCTTCCTCTCCCTTCACTCTCTCTTAACTCTCTCTTTACTCTCCCTTCCTCTCTCTTCACTCTCCCTTCCTCTCTCTTCACTCTCTCTTCACTCTCCCTTCCTCTCCCTTCACTCTCTCTTCGCTCTCTCTTCACTCTCCCTTCCTCTCCCTTCACTCTCTCTTCACTCTCCCTTCACTCTCTCTTCACTCTCCCTTCCTCTCTCTTCACTCTCCTTTCACTCTCCCTTCACTCTCTCTTCACTCTCCCTTCACTCTCTCTTCACTCTCCCTTCACTCTCTCTTAACTCTCCCTTCCTCTCTCTTCACTCTCTCTTCACTCTCCCTTCCTCTCTCTTCACTCTCCCTTCACTCTCTCTTCACTCTCCTTTCACTCTCTCTTCACTCTCTCTTAACTCTCCCTTCACTCTCCTTTCACTCTCTTAACTCTCTCTTCACTCTCTCTTCACTCTCCCTTCACTCTCTCTTCACTCTCCCTTCCTCTCTCTTCACTCTCCCTTCACTCTCTTCACTCCCCTTTCACTCTCTCTTCACTCTCTCTTAACTCTCCCTTCACTCTCTCTTCACTCTCCTTTCACTCTCTCTTCACTCTCTCTTCACTCTCTCTTCACTCTCCCTTCCTCTCCCTTCACTCTCTCTTCGCTTTCTCTTCACTCTCCCTTCCTCTCCCTTCACTCTCTCTTCACTCTCCCTTCACTCTCCTTTCACTCTCTCTTCACTCTCCCTTCCTCTCTCTTCACTCTCCTTTCACTCTCCCTTCACTCTCTCTTCACTCTCCCTTCACTCTCCTTTCACTCTCTCTTAACTCTCCCTTCCTCTCTCTTCCTCTCCTTTCACTCTCTCTTAACTCTCCCTTCCTCTCTCTTCCTCTCCCTTCACTCTCTCTTAACTCTCTCTTCACTCTCCCTTCCTCTCTCTTCACTCTCCCTTCCTCTCTCTTCACTCTCTCTTCACTCTCCCTTCCTCTCCCTTCACTCTCTCTTCGCTCTCTCTTCACTCTCCCTTCCTCTCCCTTCACTCTCTCTTCACTCTCCCTTCACTCTCCTTTCACTCTCTCTTCACTCTCCCTTCCTCTCTCTTCACTCTCCTTTCACTCTCCCTTCACTCTCTCTTCACTCTCCCTTCACTCTCTCTTCACTCTCCCTTCACTCTCTCTTAACTCTCCCTTCCTCTCTCTTCACTCTCTCTTCACTCTCCCTTCCTCTCTCTTCACTCTCCCTTCACTCTCTCTTCACTCTCCTTTCACTCTCTCTTCACTCTCTCTTAACTCTCCCTTCACTCTCCTTTCACTCTCTTAACTCTCTCTTCACTCTCTCTTCACTCTCCCTTCACTCTCTCTTCACTCTCCCTTCCTCTCTCTTCACTCTCCCTTCACTCTCTTCACTCTCCTTTCACTCTCTCTTCACTCTCTCTTAACTCTCCCTTCACTCTCTCTTCACTCTCCTTTCACTCTCCCTTCACTCTCTCTTCACTCTCTCTTCACTCTCCCTTCCTCTCCCTTCACTCTCTCTTCACTCTCTCTTCGCTCTCTCTTCACTCTCCCTTCCTCTCCCTTCACTCTCTCTCTTCACTCTCCCTTCACTCTCCCTTCACTCTCTCTTCACTCTCTCTTCACTCTCCCTTCACTCTCTCTTCACTCTCCCTTCACTCTCTCTTCACTCTCCCTTCACTCTCTCTCTCTTCACTCTCTCTTCACTCTCTCTTCACTCTCTCTTCACTCTCCCTTCACTCTCTCTTCACTCTCTCTTCACTCTCCCTTCACTCTCCCTTCACTCTCTCTCTTCACTCTCCCTTCACTCTCTCTTCACTCTCTCTTCACTCTCCCTTCACTCTCTCTTCACTCTCTCTTCACTCTCCCTTCACTCTCTATTCACTCTCTCTTCACTCTCCCTTCACTCTCTCTTCACTCTCTCTTCACTCTCCCTTCACTCTCCCTTCACTCTCTCTTCACTCTCTCTTCACTCTCCCTTCACTCTCTTTTCACTCTCCCTTCCTCTCCCTTCACTCTCTTCACTCTCCTTTAACTCTCCCTTCACTCTCCCTTCACTCTCTCTTCACTCTCCCTTCACTCTCCCTTCACTCCCCCTTCACTCTCCCTTCACTCTCTCTTCACTCTCTCTTCACTCTCTCTTCACTCTCCCTTCACTCTCCCTTCACTCTCTCTTCATTTTCCCTTCACTCTCCCTTCACTCTCCCTTCACTCTCTTTTCACTCTCCCTCCACTCTCTCTTCACTCTCTCTTCACTCTCCCTTCACTCTCCCTTCACTCTCTCTTCACTCTCCCTTCACTCTCTCTTCACTCTCTCTTCACTCTCCCTTCACTCTCTCTTCACTCTCCCTTAACTCTCTCTTCACTCTCCCTTCACTCTCCTTTAACTCTTCCTTCACTCTCCCTTCACTCTCTCTTCACTCTCCCTTCACTCTCCCTTCACTCTCTCTTCACTCTCCTTCACTCTCCCTTCACTCTCTCTCTTCACTCTCTCTTCACTCTCTCTTCACTCTCCCTTCACTCTCCCTTCACTCTCTCTTAACTCTCCCTTCACTCTCTCTTCACTCTCCCTTAACTCTCTCTTCACTCTCCCTTCACTCTCCTTTAACTCTTCCTTCACTCTCCCTTCACTCTCTCTTCACTCTCCCTTCACTCTCCCTTCACTCTCTCTTCACTCTCTCTTCACTCTCCCTTCACTCTCTCTTCACTCTCTCTTCACTCTCCCTTCACTCTCCCTTCACTCTCTCTTCACTCTCCCTTAACTCTCTCTTCACTCTCCCTTCACTCTCTCTTCACTCTCCCTTCACTCTCCTTTCACTCTCCCTTCACTCTCCCTTCACTCTCTCTTCACTCTCCCTTAACTCTCTCTTCACTCTCCCTTCACTCTCTCTTCACTCTCCCTTCACTCTCCTTTAACTCTTCCTTCACTCTCCCTTCACTCTCTCTTCACTCTCCCTTCACTCTCCCTTCACTCTCCCTTAACTCTCCCTTCACTCTCCCTTCACTCTCTCTTCACTCTCCCTTCCTCTCCCTTCACTCTCTTCACTCTCTCTTCACTCTCTCTTCACTCTCCCTTCACTCTCCCTTCACTCTCTCTTCACTCTCCCTTCACTCTCCCTTCACTCTCTCTTCACTCTCCCTTCACTCTCCCTTCACTCTCCCTTCACTCTCTCTTCACTCTCTCTTCACTCTCCCTTCACTCTCTCTTCACTCTCTCTTCACTCTCCCTTCACTCTCCCTTCACTCTCTCTTCACTCTCCCTTAACTCTCTCTTCACTCTCCCTTCACTCTCCCTTCACTCTCTCTTCACTCTCCTTTAACTCTCTCTTCACTCTCCCTTCACTCTCTCTTCACTCTCCCTTCACTCTCCTTTAACTCTCCCTTCACTCTCCCTTCACTCTCTCTTCACTCTCCCTTCACTCTCCCTTCACTCTCCTTTAACTCTCCCTTCACTCTCCCTTCACTCTCTCTTCACTCTCCCTTCCTCTCCCTTCACTCTCTTCACTCTCTCTTCACTCTCTCTTCACTCTCCCTTCACTCTCCCTTCACTCTCTCTTCACTCTCTCTTCACTCTCCCTTCACTCTCTATTCACTCTCCCTTCACTCTCTCTTCACTCTCCCTTCACTCTCTCTCTCTTCACTCTCTCTTCACTCTCTCTTCACTCTCTCTTCACTCTCCCTTCACTCTCTCTTCACTCTCCCTTCACTCTCCCTTCACTCTCTCTTCACTCTCCCTTCACTCTCTCTTCACTCTCTCTTCACTATCCCTTCACTCTCCCTTCCTCTCTCTTCACTCTCTCTTCCTCTCTCTTTTTTTTACGATCAGAGGAAACAAGAAGATGCTCGGTGTAGTCGGCACTTTGCTTCGTTCATCATTTCGTTTTTTTTAATGCTTTGCTTTATGTAAACCCCCCCCCCCCCCTTTTAAATGAAAGACCCCTCTCTGCCTCTCCTCTCTCTCTACCCCTCTCTCCGCCCCCCCTCTCTCTCTGCCCCTCTCTTCCTACTCCATTTGGCTCTCTCTCTTGCTCTATCTCTTTTTTATTTATAACTACGACAAGTGCTGCATCTGCACGCAGCCCTTCCCACAGTCAAACGGCCTCCGACGGGTAGCTCAGATCTGCATGCAGAGCTCTCCGTCATCTGCCACCGAGCACACGGCCTCCTCCAGCGCCCACTGCTCCTTGAAGGCCGGCACGGCGTGGGTCAGCCGCGCGTGGCGGAACTCCAGCCACACCCAGGCTCTGACCAGAGCACGGAAGATGCCCAGGCTGCTGGCCGGACGTTGCCCCTCCAGGGCCACCTTCCTCGCCCTGTATATGGCGAGCTTGGCGTAGCCGAAGAGCACGTTGACCAGCCCCTGAAGATGTTGGGGTCCGTCGCCCTTCGGGTATCCAAAGATGAGGACCGTCGGGGAGAAGTGGAGGCTGAACCTTAGGAGGATGTTTCTCAGGACCTTGAACAGCGAGTCCAGGCTCTTGCACTCCACGTATTGGTGCGCCACCGTCTCCACTTTACCGCAGAACCAGCACTCCGGGGATGTGTCGGTGAAGTGCGCCGGGGAGGTGTCGGTGGTGACGGTGTTGTGGGCGATGCTCCAGCTGGGGTCGCCGATGCGGTTGTACGTCGGGCTGGAGTAAAGTTGCCTCCAGCGAGGCCTCTCCGGAGAGATGCAGGGCAGGGCTCTCCTCCAGGCGTGGTCCTTGTGGCTCCTCAGGGTGTCCTGTTGGTGAAACCGGACCATGTAGGAGTAGAGCACCTTCCGCTTTACATTTGTGAAAGCCACCTCCGGTAGGTCTTCTAGCCGGCACAGGTTGTGATCCGCCTTCGTTTGTCGGCATTGGCGATGCAGTGGCACGATGGAGAGCTCCGGTGGAGGGGGACCGAGAGGGGCCTCGTCATCCCCAACGCCGATGGGGGGCGTTCTCCCCATCGCTGCCACTGAGAAGGCCCCCTTGGCTTCGGCCAGGATCCAGGCAGCCACCCGGAGCGACTGCAGCCCTGTCTTTGCGGCCATGTCTGCTGGTCCGAGCCACCGGCCCCGTGTTTCAGGCTCCACCAGATCTCCCATCCTGGTGAGCCTCGCGTTGGCGAGGCGCCTCTCCATGCCAGGGGTGGTGGTGGTGGATGGCAGCTTTGTCTGTGGGTTCCTGAGGATCGGTTCGAAGACCAGATCCTCGGCCGATCGCGGCTGATTCAGCCTCCTGACGGTCGAGGGAGCTCCATGTCTGCAGGACGCTTCTGTAGAAGGGTGGCAGCTGTCCCAGTGGGAGGCCCTGCAGGTCCATGTAGAATCACTCCCTCTTCACGCTCTCTTCCTCTCTCTCTTCACTCTCTCCCTTCACTCTCTCTTCACTCTCTTTTTTTTACGATCAGAGGAAACAAGAAGATGCTCGGTATAGTCGGCACTTTGCTTCGTTCATCATTTCGGTTTTTTTAATGCTTTGCTTTATGTAACCTCCCCTTTTAAATGAAAGACCCAACAAAATATTTTCACCTCTCTCTCACCTTTCTCTCCTCTCTCTCACCTCTCTCTTTTTTTCTCTCTTCACTCTCTCTCTTCTCTCCCTCAATTCTCTCCCTCTCTCTCCCTCCTCTCTCTCTCACTCTTACACTCTCCCCTCTCCCTCTGACACTCTCCCCTCTCTCTCCCTCCTCTATCTCTTCCTCCCTCTTACACTCTCCCCTCTTACACTCTCCCCTCTTACACTCTCCGCTCGCTCTCTCCCCTCCCTCCCCTCGCTCTCTTTCGCTCTTTCGCCAGTTCCGTTCATCCCAAACGCGGGGCGACATCGCCACCATGTGGAGAGACACGGGGAGACACAGGGGAGACAAGGGGGTGGGGGCAAGGGGGAGACACGGGGGAGACACGGGGGAGACAAGGGGGGGGGCAAGGGGGAAACAAAGGGGGGGAGACAAGGGGGGAAGACAATGGGGGGGGGGGGCAAGGGGGAGACAAGGGGGAGACAAGGGGGAGACAAGGGGGAGACAAGGGGGAGACAAGGGGAAGACACGGGGAGACACGGGGAGACACGGGGAAACACGGGGAAACACGGGGAGATACGGGGAGACAAAGGGGGGGGGCAAGGGGAGAAGACAAGGGGGAGACAAGGGGGATATACGGGGAGACAAAGGGGGGGGGACAAGGGGGGAAGACAAGGGGGAGACAAGGGGGAGACATGGGGAGACAAAGGGGGGGGCAAGGGGGAAGACAGGGGGGAGACAAGGGGGGGGGGCAAGGGGGAGACAAGGGGCGGGGGGAAACAAGGGGGGGGAGACACGGGTGGGGAGGGAGACACGGGGGGGGGGAGACACGGGGGGGGGACAAGGGGGGGGAGACACGGGGGGGGGAGACGGGGTGGGGGGGGAGAGACACGGGGGGGGAGACACGGGGGGGGAGACACGGGGGGGGGAGACACGGGGGGGGGGGAGACACGGGGGGGGAGACACGGGGGGGGAGACATGGGGGGGGATACAAGGGGGGGGGCGACACGGGGGAGATAAGGGGGGCGGGAGACAAGGGGGGAGACAAGGGGGGGGGGAGACAAGGGGGGGGGGAAGACAAGGGGGGGGGGACAAGGGGGGGGGGGAGACTACCTACTGGATCTCCTCTCTGTTTCAAAGAACAAATTTGACCTCAGGTCTTCGCTCATTTACCAGCTTCACATTCCCTATTGCCATACAAAAACCGGAGGAAGGGCCTTTGCTATTGATGCCCCAGGGTCTGGAATGCTATTGCCAATAAACTGCAACTTGAATCACTACCTATGAGATCTTCTCTCAAAACAACTCTAGAGGAAGTTGTACACCCCTTGCTGCCACTGCTATTCAGTGGCCTAAAATATGGCTCTAGATTTTGGTGTTAAAATTTATTGATGTAGTTTATTGTAAAAAATTCGGTCACAGTCCCTATGATCACTGTTACATTGCATTTATGGCTTTTATTTTGGTGATTTCGAAAACGTTTTTTTTGGGTTTGGCCATGTTTTTGTTTATTGTAGTACGGAGTTAGACTGATGGCCTTAATCTTTGTTGTCTTGTGGTTGTTATTTGACTTGCATCCTACTGGGATTTTTGCACACAGCGTTGGTGTATGGTGCTATTTCAGGAATATTTTGATGTTTTTTTTCCTGGATTTTCTGTTTGCACAGTCACATAGTCACTTTAAGATGTTTTCTTGTTCATGTTTTTTGTTTGTTGAGGTTGCACCCGATTCAAGAGCCGAATGGCTCACAGGGCTATACCAAAATAAATAAACTATGAAACTAAACTATGAGACAAGGGGGGGGGGGAAACAAGGGGGGGTGGAGACAAGGGGGGTGGAGACAAGGGGGGGGACAAGGGGGGGACAAGGGGGGGGAGACAAGGGGGGGGAGACAAGGGGGGGGGAGACAAGGGGGGAGATAAGGGGGGGACAAGGGGGGGGACAAGGGGGGGGACAAGGGGGGGGAGACAAGGGGGGGGAGACAAGGGGGGGGAGACAAGGGGGGGGAGACAAGGGGGGGGAGACAAGGGGGGGGAGACAAGGGGGGGGAGACAAGGGGGGGGAGACAAGGGGGGGGAGACAAGGGGGGAGACAAGGGGGGGACAAGGGGGGGGGACAAGGGGGGGGACAATGGGGGGGACAAGGGGGGGAGACAAGGGGGGGGAGACAAGGGGGGGAGACAAGGGGGGGGAGACAAGGGGGGGGAGACAAGGGGGGGGGAGACAAGGGGGGGGGGGAGACAAGGGGGGGGGGAGACAAGGGGGGGGGAGACAAGGGGGGGGAGACAAGGGGGGGGAGACAAGGGGGGGGGAGACAAGGGGGGGGGGAGACAAGGGGGGGGGAGACAAGGGGGGGGGAGACAAGGGGGGGGGAGACAAGGGGGGGGGAGACAAGGGGGGGGAGACAAGGGGGGGGGGGGGACAAGGGGGGGGGGAGACAAGGGGGGGGGGGGAGACAAGGGGAGGGGGGAAAGGGGAGACAAGGGGAGACAAGGGGAGACAAGGTGGGGGGTGGGGGGCAAGGGGATTGCGGAGGAAATAGACGCGGGGAGCCGGAGAGAGACTCTGAGAGACTCTGAGAGACACTGAGTGAGTGAGTGAGACACGGGGTGCGGCTTGGGTGGGGGGGCGGGTGAGACGTGGAATGAGACACGGAGACACGAGGAGACCCCAGCACACACATGTACACACACACGTACACATGTACAAACACATGTACACACACATGTACACATACACGTGTACACGCATGTGGACACGTGTGTGTGTTACCGTATTTTGTGAGCGAACGTTGGGGTGCGTCTTACAATCCGGTATGTGTGAGTGTGAGCACCTCCGTCTGTGTGGTTTTATTGACACCGTGCACAACGTCTTGGGTGCGTCTTACTTTCCGAATGTCTTAGAATCTGGAGAGTTCGGTAATTGTCAGTGAGACCACTGCCCAGAGAGGCCAGGGGCACGAGAGACCCGAAAGAGGGCAGGGGGGGAGGCGGGTTGTTTGACCATACTTCACCACGCTGGTTCAATGCAGGTTGATGAAGTTGAGAAGGCCCATGACCGGTGCACAGGAATCACACACCACTGATGTTAGCCGTGGCCAGGAATCGAACTCACGAGCCCAAGTTTGCAGTTTGCTCTTGCATTAACATCTGGTAATTCAGGACCAGTTGTTAACAAGCCTGAAGCCCAGTATACATGGGACGTTGGGGCAGCTTTGGGCCAACGTTTCCAATCACATGCTAAGGTTGGGCCAACGCTGAACCAACGTTGGGTCAACGCTGAACCAACGTTGGGTCAACGCTGAACCAACGTTGGGTCAACATTGGGCCAGCGGACTTGTATGATAAATTAATGAATGATTTAAATTCAGCGACTCGGTTATCATTTTCTCTATGTTGCACTCCGTGCGTGTTTTTGTGTTGTTTGCTGCTGTAACTTGCTGACCCGCCCATGCTGGACATGTGCGAAAAAGAGCTTCATAGCTCATCGGATTCCTTGCAGTCTCAATACAGATTCTGAATCTGTTTACTGGGTGACTGCCTGATGAGACCCGGCATTTCGAAACCGGTGCGGAGTTTCCTTTTCTTGACCAAATACTGCTGAATAATATCACTGGTCTGGAAGGCCAAAAGGTTATTGATATGGACAGAGGACAAAGTTCTGCTCATGATGGCAATTGAAGTTAATGGAAATGGCTTAAAAGCAATTTTAATGGACTATACCACTACACACCAAGCAAGGGGGGAGAGGGAGGTCGTAGTTGGAAGTTAATGATTAACAACCCGGATCTTACACCCATTTCAACAACTTTATTTTCTGAACTAAATTAATTGAACACAGCATTAATTTATATATAATATCGATTCATTATATTAAAATTATCAGGAACGGTAATGAACCTGGGGATTTTAAACCGGGTTTCGGTAGAAACAATCTCCCCCTCCCACCCCCCTCACGTGAGCGGGACACTTGGTATGGCCCATCGAGGGTCGCCACCACGTGGGAACGAAGCAGGGCTCATTGCGGGAGGAAATCCCTCCTGAGCGGACGTGGGGACTGCGTTGTTCGCGGGCCAGCGAGGGTCTCGGGGGTCTCGGGGGTCTCGGGGGTCTTGGACCGGTTCCGGAGTCCCTGGACTCCCACAGTAGGCGAGAACGAAGAGGAGAGGACCGCGCTGATGGGAACCGGGGTGTGAGCTGGTAAGGACCGGTGTGGGTGTGTGTAATTGTGATTGGGTGGGTATGAGTGGGGTGAGTCGAGTAGGGTGAGTGGGTGTTGTGTGGGAGAGTGCGCTATGGGTGAGTGGTCAGTGGGTGTACGTGGGTCGAGTGTGAGTTGGCGTGGCTGTGTGTGTTAATGGTGTGTGTGAGGAGTGTTAGTGTGGGGGGGAGTGAATGGGGTGTTTGGTTTGTGAGTGTGGTGTGTGTGAATCTGGCGTGTGAGAAGTTTGTGTGTGCAAATGAAATTGCTGAGAACAACATGACCGCGTGTGAATGATTCAATTTGTTCAGAACAACAATGTCACAGGGGAAGCACTGTGCAGAACACAGTGAAGTGGGAATCACTTTGTTCAGAACAATAATGCCAGTGCGAATTGCATTGTTTGAAACAATGACAGTGAATCGCTTTGTTAAGAACAATAACGAGTGTGAAGCACATTGCTCAGAACAAAATGTCAGTAAATGATTTTGTTAAGAAAAACAATGCCAGTGTGAATCACATTGTTAACAACGCCAGTTTGAGTAAAATTGTCCAGAACAGTAGTGTAACAGTCAATCTCTTTGTTCAGAGCCACAATGACAGAGTGAATTATATTGTTGACAACAACAATCGGAATCTTTATTTAGACTGGACGAATCAAATGCGCTATGCAGCTCTTTTTCAATGACAGTGTGAATCACATTGTAAAAAAACTAAATTACAGTGTGAATCACATTGTTCAGAACAACAATGAAAGTGTGAATATTATTGTTCAGAACAATGTCAGTGTGAATCACATTGTAAAAACAGCTAAATGACTGTGTGAATCACATTGTTCAGAACAACAATGAAAGTGTGAATCGTATTGTTCAGAACAATGATGTCAGTGTGAATCACATTGTAAAAAAACTAAATGACTGTGTGAATCACATTGTTCAGAACAACAATGAAAGTGTGAATCGTATTGTTCAGAACAATGATGTCAGTGTGAATCACATTGTAAAAACAGCTAAATGACTGTGTGAATCACATTGTTCAGAACAACAATGAAAGTGTGAATCGTATTGTTCAGAACAATGATGTCAGTGTGACTCACATTATTCATAACAATAATGTCAGCGTGAATGGCAGTCTTCAAAACAACAATGCCGATGTGAATCACCTTGTTGAATGCTGTGTGTATATTCAGCCACCGCGCGTGATGTTAACGTGACCCCTTGGCTCGTGTTGCCACCTGCCCCGGGTTTCCACGGAATCGTCCTCGAAAATCTGTCGGTCCTTCCGTGACTTTGCACGTCCCGGCTGCATCATCATAATAATAACGATAAACATTGATCATTAAAACAATATTATGATTCCGCGAGTTTACCCAGGAAAGCCTCACCGAGTCTCATACCTGTCAACAACCCCTTATCAATGCCCTACATTATTACAGACCAATCCATACCTTATTAGTCAACCCGTGCCCTTATAAATCTCAACGTTGATCCTACAAAGTCCCATCACAAGGGAGAAACACAAACAAATAGACATTTATGTTGCCCGTATTGAAACTGCTGTGCGCCGTATGGTCTTGAAAACTCAATTTCCCTGTACAAGAATGCGGGGTAAACCGTGTGGGTTGACAGCTGTGGAGTCTCTAGACTCCTTTTCCGGAGGGTCCTGCCGAGTTTTCACAGTAGTGGGGGAGGGGGGCGATGTTGCTGCTGCTGTTGTTGCTGTTGCTGTGTGATCCCAATTGAGTCATTTTCAGGCAAGTTACCTGCAAATTGAATCATTTGCAGGTAACTTGTCGGCACCGGGATATCTCTCCGAGTGTCTCTTCCTGGGATCTGGTTGCATCTCCGAGGTTGCAAGCAACTCCTGCTGCCGGACAGTGGTGGCTCCGCCGCTGCGCGTGACTGCTGCCTGTAATCCAGCCCCGTGGAGGCAGCAGCTTCGGGGGTTGGAGGATCATGGTGTGAAACTCCCTTCCCGTGGGCGTCAAGGAGATGCCGTAGACCTTTTGCTCGCCAGGAGAATGCGGTGCAGCAAGCGGACTAATTCGCCATCCATTTCCATCTGTTCGGGGATAGAGTGTTGCCCCCTCGCTCGCACTGCGGGGTTTCTTCGGGTCCTCTGGGTTCCCTCCGCATGTCTAATAAACAACTCATTAATTGGCTGAAAACATCTTAAAATAAAAGCCCAGTGTGTGGCGGCTGTGGCAGGGCCACTCCTGAGAAGTTCTTTCGTGGAGTAAATAAGTATATAAGACGTGTGTGTGTTTATATTGTTATTACATTTGTTAGGGACAGAAAATCTGGTTTTCTATCGTTGGTGCGGCGCTTCCTTATTCACCACCGCGCGAGATGTCGTTACGCCAGATCGCGATATCCTATTTGCGTGTCAAAGACAAAGCTCCCCCGTGTAGCCTTAACAGACTGTTGGGGCAAGTGCTGTTAGCGAGTGGCACCTATGGAGGCCGGCACGGCACACGAGGGGGCTGTTGGTGGCCACCACCACACCCGGCCGCCTTTGTCTCCCTCGTGGTGAATTTCACACACTGCAACCAAGTACTCATTTGAGGTTGAGTCGACCAAGGGGAAGCCCAGGACCGGTGCAGGCAACCGCCGCTTGTGTTGGTTGGCCGTGAGCGGAAATGGAGCTCAGGTGAATGCCAGGTTCGTCGAGCAGTGCGCTAACCGCCGCCACACCCACAACAATAACCACCTTAGTGGCGGTGACGTCACCACGGCGCTCGTGCCAGGCTAGGTGCACTTTGAGGCCACGTGAAGTGTCGAACGCCCGCTGGCAAGAGGTCACGGAATGGACCCAGGTGCCACGGGTTGACTGCCTGAGATGAATGCGTTGACTGGCCGATGCACCACCTGTGCCCCCTACCGTGCCAACTCTCTGCGTTTTATCGACCCGGCGCCCCGCTCGTTGTTGTGAGCGTCGCTCCTCCGCCCTCCGTTGTTGTTGGAGGGCGACTGCCTCCAACTGCTCAGCGGCATCCTTCACGAGCCTCCTCCACAGAGGCCGATCTTGACACCGCTGGCACCAGTCATCGGCAAGTCCAATCAGCTCCCCCACATCCTTCTGTAACCGCATCAGCTCCATCTCTTTTTTTGCCCGTCTATCCCCCTCGATCCGGCCGAAGAGAGCTGCTTGGCCATGCGGTGGCTACATGAAACCAGCCAAGGCAGCCACGCTTGCCGAAGTAGCTCACCGATGGGACTGTGTCCACATCCACTCTCAACTCTGATCCGGTCCGGTTAAACCCAGGGTGGATCGTGGGCAGGGCCAGCCGGAATGTTTCAAACCGGCGCGCGGATTAACCACATTGAAAATATGCACAGAGACGAAGACCCCCACGTTTATAGCCTTAAATACACACGCGGAAGACGAGACAGAGAGAGAGAGCTGTTTATATCATCGAGTAACTAAATAATGAGGCAATCGCACGAGAGAGACCTTTACCCCCCTCCACCCTTAGCGGCATCGCCGCCGCCTCCCCAGCGGGGCTGCCCCCCAGCCGGCCCCCACTGCCCCCCACTGCCCCCGACGCCGGCTCCTGGAGTCCAACCGAGGCGGTGCGGCTCCGCTGGGCTCCTCCACGAGCAGGCTGCTGCCGCTTTGCCGGCCGGGCTGCGGCGCGTGAAGAAGGAAGTACAGCAAGTAGGCTCGGCCCCGCGGCGTCGTCTCTCGCCTCTCTAGCCCCGTGCGTGTCGATCTTGAATTGTTTGTATGCGAGGTGGTGGTGGTGGGGGGTTTGTTTGATCCCACCCCAGGTTGAACTCTTGGTCCGAGTTTGGTTCCTGCTCTGGGTTTTGTCGTGAATGCCATCCACGCGGCGTTTCCTCTGGTCCCAGTTTGGACTTTTTAGTGTTGTGTCCAGATCGTGTCGAGATTGTGTACAGTATTGTGGACTGTACTGTAGTGTGTGTGTGTTGGCTTTGTGGTCGTGTGCAATCAGCTGCTGCTACACTCAGTCACTCACAGTCACTCACTCAGTCACTCACAGTCACTCACTCTGTTACTCAGTCACTCAGTCACAGTCATTCACAGTCACTCTGTTACTCACTCTGTTACTCACACAGTCATTCACTCAGTCACTCACACAGTCACTCACAGTCACTCACACAATCACCCACTCACTCAGTCACTCTGTTACTCACACACTCGCTCAGTTGCTCAGTCACTCACACAGTCACTCACACAGTCACTCAGTCACTTAGTCACTCAGTCACTCACACAGTCACTTACACAGTCACTCACACACTCACTCGACACTCACACTCGCACACTCGCACTGTCACTCACCCACTCTACACTCACACTGTCACTCACTCTACACTCACTCAGTCACTCACTCACACTGTCACTCACTCAGTCACTCACTCAGTCACTCACTCTACACTCACTCAGTCACTCACTCACACTGTCACTCACTCAGTCACTCACTACACACTGTCACTCACTCACACTGTCACTCACTCACTCTACACTCACACTGTCACTCACTCACACTGTCACTCACTCACTCACTCACACTGTCACTCAGTCACTCACTCACACTGTCACTCACACTGTCACTCACTCACACTGTCACTCACACTGTCACTCACTCACACTGTCACTCACACTGTCACTCACTCACACTGTCACTCACTCACTCACTCACACTGTCACTCAGTCACTCACTCACACTGTCACTCAGTCACTCACTCACACTGTCACTCAGTCACTCACTCACTCACTCCACACTGTCACTCACTCACTCTACACTCACACTGTCACTCACTCTACACTCACTCAGTCACTCAGTCACTCACTAACACTGTCACTCACTCACACTGTCACTCAGTCACTCACTCACACTGTCACTCACACTGTCACTCACACTGTCACTCACTCACACTGTCACTCTACAGTCACTCAGTCACTCACTACACACTCACTCAGTCACTCACTCAGTCACTCACTACACACTTACTCAGTCACTCACTCAGTCACTCACTACACACTCACACTCACTCACTCTCACTAACTTGCCACTCAGGCTCACTCACTGTCACTCCTGCATTCACACTGTCACGAACTGACTAACAATCACACTATCATTCACTTATTCATTGACTCCCTCACTCACTCACCCACACACACTCGCACTCACTCACACAGAACACACACTCACACACCCACCTCCGATTAGCATGGTTGGCTACGTACGGTGCGAAAGAAGTCCAACATATATACACACTCTCACACACACCTCGCTGCAGGTCACCTCACTTCACTCTCTGATTCTTTTCTCTCACTGCTCCACTCCAGAACTCCCTCCTCCCATCACCCCCCCCCCCCCCACCATCTCTCAACAGCAATAACCTCGCTCGCTCAGTGCAGCAAACGCAGTCATTATCTCACGTTGCCGATTGCACCGTAGATCTCACAGTGCTGTTTGTCACTGGCCGCTTGTCATTGTGTGGTTCTTCGATTCACCATTTGAGTAAAACAATCTGAACGCTGCCCCCACTGCTGCGGCGAAGGTAACGACGACACCCTTGGTCTAAACAACAACAACAACCACCGTCCGCGGTGACGGCACCACCGGCGCTTGTGCCAGGCTAGGTGCACTTTGAGGGCACGTGAAGTCTCGAAGGCTCGCTGGCTGAAGACCACGGGACAGACCCAGGTGCCATGGATTGATTGACTCAGATGACTGGCAGATGCACCGCATGTGCTTCCCACTGTGCCAATTTGCTGCGTTTTATCCGCCCGGCGCTTCACTCGTTGTTGTGAGCGTCGCTCCTCTGCCCTCCGTTGTTGTTGTAGGGCGACTGCCTCCAATTGCCCAGTCGCGTCCTTCACGAGCCTCCTCCACAGAGGCCGATCGTGACAGCGCTGGTACACTCAGCTCCACATACTTCTGTTTGTGCTAAACATAACTCATCACACACACACACATTGTTTCCCCGTAATGCATTTTACACACGCGCACACACATTGCCGACCACATCCACATTATCCTGACGAAGATGTCACCCACCCGTCCCGCCCAGAGTGGCATCGCGTTCTCTGTTACTAAAGAATAAAAAAAAACGAGTGAGCGAGCGAGCGGGGCGGTGGTGCAGCGGTGAGCGCGCTGCGCTATGAATCCAGGCACCAGAGTTTGATTTCCGCTCATGGCCAGCACCAGTGACGATTATCCGAACCAGTCCTGGGCCTTGCCTACGTAGTTTCGGCCTCAAACGAGTATTGTACCTGGTGCGGCGCGTGAACATCGCCACTGGGAGGCAAAGGCGGCCGGGCGTGGTGCTGGCCACGCTCCCCCTCGTGTGGCGTTCCGGCCTTGATCGGTGCTCCTTGCGAAGAGCACTTGCCCCAAAAAGCCTGTTCAGGCTATACGGGGGGGGGGATCTTTTGTCTTGTGAGTAAGCGTATGGGTGTGTATGCGAGTGAGTCAGTGTGAGTGTATGAGTGTGATTTTTATAATGTCAAACTGAGTTTCCATAGAATAATGGTCAGCACTCTGAAACCTACAGTCTGGATAACTCGATCTCCAGACAAGGCACGGGACACACATCTCCGCTCACCGCCCCACTCCCCCACGCCCCCACTCCCCGCCACCATACCAGTCCACCCAGCGGTGTCAATGGGCGCGGTGGTGGTCTAACGTGGAAGAGTAGGCCAAATGCACCCTCTAATAGTTCTCTCTCACGGAGGGTGCCCCCTTCCTGCCAGCAGTGGCGTGAGCAAAGAATTGTAGCTGTGCGCCTTTACCTTTGCCTGATTGTATTAATTCACAGCCCCTTGGTCGATGCACTGCTGGATGAAGGCGCCCGCCATGTCAGTCACGCTCGTTGTTCCACCGTGCTTCACCACGCTGGTCAGTGCGCGGTCGGTGAGCGAGGGGGGACCAGCTCGGCTCTTGTGCCTGCGAGAGCCGCTGATGTTCGCCGTAGCCGGGAAACCGAATACTCCGGCCGTGCCGCGTCCGTTATCCGAGTGTGCCCTGTAGTTTGGTCAATTGCCCGATCAGCGTCCATTACCCGCTCGGAAGGCCACCCGCAGTCGCGTCTCGCGTCAAACCTGTGACGTGTAAGTCGGCACGACCGCTACCACGGCCGTCCCCCGGCGAAAAACCCAGAGAGTTCGGAACCTGACGCGGTCCTGGCATCACGGTGAGGGGTGTGTGTGTGTGTGTGGCCTTTCTGAGGTGGATTAAGCCTCTAATGAGTACCTGGTGCGGTGTGTAAAGATGTATGTACGTGTATGTTGAACTTCTTTAGCCCCGTACGTAACCAACCGGGCTAATCGGAGGTGCAGGGAAGGACAACAAACTAAACACAAAAATCTGTTCTGAAGAAATTAGTTTTCAATCTAGTAACCCATAGACACACAGACACATAGAGACTCGGTGACCCATCGAGATACATGGAGACACGTAGAGATGCACAGACTCGTATACATAGTGACCCATAGAGATAAATAGAGATTCATTAAAGACAGGCCACAGCAGTGCGATTGTGGCCACACTAGCCAAGCTATGGACCGTGGAGTAAACCCACTGCGGTCTGCGCTCCTTCAACGGAGGAGGTTGAGGAACAGCGACACGGACTCTCTCTGTCTGCTGAAGCCCTCTCGTCGTGGCGAGCAGCAGCAGCAGCAGCAGGCCTCGACACTGGCATCGAGCTCCTGGAACCGAGCTCCTGGAACCACGTTGCTGCTGCTGCTGCTGTTGTCGCCATCACACGGCAAGAAGAGAGTTTACTTCTGAGAGAGCCTCGCCGAGTCCCAACGTTCTCTCGTCGAGGACGGTTCCTGCCACATCGGGATTCCCGGCCTCGTTCATTCGCGAGCGTTTTGGTGCGAGGAACCCGGACAACCCCGGAGAAAACCTTCTGGGCGTACGAGACGAAGGGAGGGGTGGGGTGGGGGGTGCAGATGGACGGGGGGGGGGGAGTAACACTCAAAAGCTCTGCACAAATGGATTCAATAATCCATTATTGTCCTGCCGTAAGCTGGCCACCGCACGGCCCGTGCCACAGTAGCACCCGGTTTTTTCACTGCTCCCGCGTACCAACCCGGGCTCAGCGGCTGCTTAGCCTCTGAGATCTGATGCGACGGGCCGCAGGTAAAAATATGTGGATACGTTAAATAAAGAAATAAATGCCCAGCTCAAGGTGGTTTGGTCGTGTGTGTGCGTGATTGCATCTGTGTGTACGCGTTTGTGTGTGTGCGCGCATGTGTGCGTGTCCGTGTGTAGGTGTTCCGCTGCGTGCGAGTGTAGACAAGTGTTTCCGTGTGTCTCTCCGTGTGTCTCTCCGTGCGTGTCCACTCGGACGATGCTATCTATGCCTATGCCTGTCTCGTGTGTGAACTAAGATCGGTGGCGCCTTGTTTAGCGCACTGCGCTACGAACCTGGGCGCCCGAGTTAGATTCTCGCTCACGGCCAAGAACTGTGATGATTATCTGAACCGGTCCTGGGCCTCCCTTGGGTTGACTCAGCCTCATATGGGTGTGATGTTTAAACATCGCCACTGGGAAGACAAAGGTGGTCGGGCTTGGTGTTGTCCCTCCACCCGTTCGTGTGCCGTGCCGGCCTTCATCAGCGCTCGTCAAAAACAGCACTTGCCCCAACAGTCTGTCAAAGGCTATACGGGGGGATCTTTGTGTGTGTTCACACCATGAATTATTGTGTGTGTGTGTACGCACATTAATGACTATCTGCTAATCTACTGTATACACACGCACACACACACAGATATATGCAGGATGTGCAACGTGCCTTCTCTACGCATTCTTTGACGGCGCCTGCCCCACGTGTTTAAGATTTCTGCTCAACCCGTTTTGCCGGCGCCCCTGGGCTCATGTGCTGTACCTGTCGGCACAGGTGCTGTTTGCGAGCGCCTATTAAGGGCGGCGCGGCGTGCGGAGAGGGAGTCGGTGTGGCCAGCGCAGCAGCCGCGCCCAGGCCGCCCACGGATCGCACGCCACACCAGGTACTTGCTTTGCCGCGGTCTAGGCGAGTACTGGGGGGGGGGGGGGGTTAGGCTGAGTGGACCTAGGGGGAGGTTCGTGTCAAGTTCAGATGCACGATTGATGTGCGCGTCACGGGTCAAGAGTGGAACTCGGTCGGCTGTAGCCCTTTAACAGGCTGCTGGGGCGAGTGCTGTTCGCGAGCGCCTATTAAGACCGGCACGGCACACGAGGGGGTGGGTGGTCAGCACCACGACCTGCCGCATTTGTCTCCCCGGTGGCGATGTTTACACACCGCATCTGGTACTCATTTGCGGCTGAGTCGACCTAGGGGAGGCCCAGGACCGGTTCAGATATTACCTGCCGCTGGTGTAGGGTTGTGAGCACGAATCGAACCGGGGGTCGTGCCAGATTCGCATAGGGCAGTAAAGCGCTAACCACTGTGCCACCGCTCCCCACCAAACAGGGAACGTACCCACGCACGCACGTACCCAAACACACACACACCGGCGACTCTTGTGCCAGGCTAGGTTCACCTTGAGGCCTCTCCCTCTCCACGCACACAGACGACACGTGACGACACGCGCGTACACGTGACGACACGCACGTACACGTGACGACACACGTGTACACGTGTGACGACACGCGTGTACACGTGTGACGACACGCGTGTACACGTGTGTCATCACGTGTTGCGTCGCACAGGTAGCTGACACACAGCAGCCTCAGGGTCGCATTCCATCCCAACACATTCGAGGGGGGGGGGGGTGTGGAGGGCAGTGGTGCGGGGGAGGGGTGTGGGGGATCTCTGGGGGTCTGGGCTAACGTTCAAGTTGATGCGGGGGAGGTGTGGGTGGGGGTATTAACTGATGGGGCAGGGAGGATAGTACAGCAAGTCGGTTGTAGAGGCCGGGCTGCCAGTGCTGGGCCAGTTTGGGTGGTGGCTCTCTCCACCGCTGCGCCACCGCTCCCCACACTTGGCACCGCACAGCCCCACAAGGACCATCACGGGGCTCCATCCTCGCACTCGCTCCACACAGACGTCGCACAGACGTCGCACAGACGTCGCACAACACCACCGCCACCACCACCGCCGCACACCCAATGGAACATACACTCAGGGGCACGCGATGACGTCACCACAGCGTTTGTGCCAGGCTAGGTGCGCTTTGAGGCCACTTGAAGTGTGGAGGGCTCGCTGCTGGGAAGGTTATGCGACATACCCAGGTGGTTTTGGGTCGACTGACTGAGATGACTGCCAGATGCACCACCTGTGCTCCCTACTGTGCCAACTTGCTGCGTTTTAGCATTGCATATAATCACATACGTACACTCACAAACACGCACAAACACACACACAGACACGCACACACACACAGACACAGACACACAACCCAGTCCCCTCGCACCTCCTGCTCCCCGGCCCCCCACAACCCCACCTGTGCCCCCCACTCCCCTTACACCCTCCGCACACGCCACACTTCCCCTGCACCCCCACACTCCCTCCTCCCCGTATACCCCCCCAGCCCCCCCCCCACACCCCACAGCCCCCCCCACACCCCCCCCCCCACACCCCCCCACACCCCCCCCACACCCCCCCCACACCCCCCCACACCCCCCACACCCCCCAGCCCCCCCTCACACCCCCCCCACACCCCCCCGCTATCGGCGCTGCGCAGCGGTGCTCCTGCTTCCCCGTGCCTATCGCTGCTGCACACACTTCCCAAACACGCCCCGCGCGCGTGTGTGTACACGTGTGTGTGTGTGTACACGTGTGTGCGTGTGTGTGTGTACACACACTTCCCAAGCACGCCCCGCGCGCGTGTGTGTACACGTGTGTGTGTGTACACGTGTGTGTGTGTGCGTGTGTACATCACACTTCCCAAGCACGCCCCGCGCGCGCGCGTGTGTGTACACGTGTGTGTGTGTACACGTGTGTGTGTGTGCGTGTGTACATCACACTTCCCAAGCACGCCCCGCGCGCGCGCGTGTGTGTATGTGTGCTTGTGTGGACCCGGCGTGCGTGCTCGTGTGTGTACATTCTGCGTGTGTGTACACGTGTGTGTGCGTGTGTACACGTGTGTGCGCGTGTGTACACGTGTGTGTGTGTGTGTACACGTGTACGGAGTTCGTGAATCGTAATAGTATTGCGCTTGTGCGCTGTCGGCGACATCATTATCACATGGCTGCAGGGCGGTCATCGCGAAGGAAGTAGCTGCTGTGTTTGACGGAGGGGTAGTGTGTCGCTCATCCACTCGCTACCCACCTGATCATTCACTCGCTCAACCACCTAACCACTCAGTCACCCTCATCACTCATTAATCCACTCACCTACCCACCTGATCATTCACTCACTCAACCACCCAACCACTCACTTAGTCCCCTTGTCACTCATTAATCCACTCACCTACCCACCTGATCATTCACTTACTGAACCACTCACTCACCTACTTGCTCATCCACTCAATCGATGGTACATTGTGGTATTGCCGCTATAGTTCTTTGAGAGCAGGGTGATCATCACGAAGTAAGGCGCCGCTGTGTTTCACAGACACAGCCCGCGGTCGTTTCAAGGTCGAGGGTGATGTCGCTGCTCCGTGTGTGATCCAAAGTGAGTGATTTTTCGGTGTAATTTTTTCCAATTTGGCAAATTTGGACCATGACGCTGGCACACAACGGTCGAATTCCCGTTTTCACTGACGTCACGGGACCTTCAGCGTCCACTGCGAGTGAAGCAAACGGCGCAGTTGGTATTTTACGGTTTATACAAACCACCGCAAGTGTTAACCGGGGCGGCCCACCAGGGATGAACCGCGAACCTCTGCAGCGAGTGGCGAGCGCGCCACCGCTGGGCCACGTCGGTGAACATTAGACCTGGGGAAAGTACGAATTGTAACCGTGTCTCGTGATGGGTTACGCTCATCTGCGCACACACACACAGTGTACACGCGTGCACGTTTGTGGGGAGCGGTGGTGCAGTGGTTAGCGCACTGTGAACCCTGCCATCCGAGTTTGATTCTCGCGCTCGGGTGGTGAGGTGTGCGCACCGCGGTGGGGAGATGTTGACTACCTCACGTGGTATACATGAGGTCGTGGGTTCTATCCTGATACCTGTATACTTGGAGTTTGTGTGTTCTCCCCGTGGTCGCGTGGATTTTTTTTCCCCGGGATCTCCGGTTTTTCCATCCACACTTAGAATCGTGGGTTTGGAGTATTTGGCTGCGCTAAATTTCCACGTGATAATCCACTTCGTTTGTGGCCAGGTTGCTTCTGAATAAGGGCTATGTAGCTCAGTGGGCCTTACCTGGTAAAATAAACAATAGTTTTAAATAGCTTAGCTTAAACATTGGTGGTGAATGGCATCAGACCCTGCCCTGGAGTTACCCTAGATCGACTCGACCTTAAATGAGTATCCGGTGCGGTGTGGTATAAACATCAGCACTCGGGAGATAAAGGCGGCCGGGAGTGGTTGCTGGCCACAATACTCACTCGCTCATTCCCCGTGCTGACCTTAATAGGTGCTTGCTAACAGCGCTTGCCTACACGTGTTTACTATATGCACATGTGTGTGGAGTGGTGTGCTGTGCGTTTTTTGTGTGTGGTTGTGGGTGGAAAGTGTATGGAAAATGTGTTCAAACGTGCGTGTTAGTTATGGGTGTGTGTGTGTAGACGCTATGTCCACCCAACCCTTGAGTGTGAGTGTTTGGGGAGCGATGGCGCAGTGGTTAGTGCACTGTGCTAAGAACCCGGCCGACCGGAGTTTGATTCCCGCTTACATGCATAATCGATGGCAGTGAATATCTGAACCGGTCCTGAGCCTCCCCTAGTTCGACTCAGTCTTAAAACAAGTACCTGGTGCGGTGTGTAAACATCAGCACTGGGGAGACAAAGGTGGCCGGGCGTGGTGCTGGCCACCCATCCCCTGATGTGGCGTGCCGGCCTTCATAGATGCTAACAGCACTTGCCCCAACAGTCTGTTGAGGCTATACTGGTGCTGTTTGTCTTAATCTTTGTGTCGAGTAGGAGAGAGGGTAAATTGAATTTGCAGTGCTGCTGATGGTGGTATTGGTGACGATGTTACTGATAATGCTGCTCTAATGCTGCTGCTGCTGTTGATGCTGCTGCTGAAGTTGATTATGATGTAGATAATGTTTTTGCTGCTGAATTGGCTGCTGCTGAATTATCTGCCGATGATTGTTCCTGCTATAGATCATGATTGTGGTCATGACGATGATGCTGCTGATGATGTTGATACTGATAATGCTGCTGTTGAAGATGATGGTGAGAATGATGATGATGATGCTGCCGATGATGATGCAAGGTCTGTTCCATCTCTCCACGTGCCCGTGGACTCATCTCACTCTGCGGCTCTCAACAAGGAAGCGAGACCCCCATTAAATTATTAATCGTGTTCCACTAAGTGATGGTGGGTGGGGAGTGGTCGTGGTGGAGAGGGAGAATGTAACGAATAGTGATGATGATGATACACATGTATGTTGACCTTCTTTCACATGGTACATAGCCAACCATGCTAATCGGAAGTTGGGGTGATGATGACGATGGTTGTGATGCCGATGATGGGGGTGGTGATGACGATGGTGGTGGTGATCACGACGATGATGGCTATGGTGGTGATGACGATGGTGGTGGTGATGATGGTGATCACGATGATGATGGTCATGGTGGTGATGACGACAACGCTTTTTGACCGAGGCAGAAGCAGTCACTTAATTTCCGGAACGCTTTCGGTGAGTGGAGGAGAAGAGTATGGATTATAATTGGCGGCATAAGGCACTGCCACTAGATTAGTACAAGGCGTGCCTATGCCATAATTAACGTACCATATATATTTTCATTATCGTGAATTTGAAATCAGCGATATATATCAAGATGTTTATTTCGTTCTTTTTCCATGCATGTTGATGTGGTGTGGCCAAATCCATTCCCGGAACAGGGTTTCGGATCTCTGCCGTTGCAGTGAAAGCATGGGGGGGGGGGGGGGGCGGGGGGGGTGGGGGGGCGGGGGTGGTGGGGGGGAGTTGTGGTGAGGGGGGGAGGTGCAAGAGCCCTCGACAATGACATTGGAGAAGGAAACGTTTTATTATATTGAGGCCATTGACGCAATACGCGTGTTCTGCCACGCTCGCCTTCCTGCTGGTGCTGTCAGCGAGCGCCTGTTAAGGGCGGCACGGCGCGCACATGTGGGGAGCGCGGTGGGGGGGGGGCAGTGCCACGTCCCGTCCGCCTTTGTCTCCCCTCCCCACCACCACCCAACTGCTCGACAAAGACAAAGATCCCCCGTATAACCTTAACAGACTGTTCGAGCAAGTGCTGTTAGCAAGCACTTATGAAGGCCGGCACGGCACATGGAAAGGGCGGGTGGCCAGCACCACGCCAGGTACTCATATGAGGCTGAGTCGACCTAGGGGAGGCCCTGGACTGTTCAGATAATCGCCACTGGTGTTGGCCGTGAGCGGGAATCGAACCCGGGTAACCAGGTTCGTAGCGCAGCGCGCTAACCGCTACACTACCGCTCCCCATACACACACACACAGAATCATACACACAGATGAACACACAGTACACACACTCCCTTATCACCCCTCCCCCAGGAGTTAGACCTCCCCTAGAAGCCAAGTGGTACCTTGCTAATCCCATCATCACGATCATCATCGCCCATAACCCATTACATCACCCATTACATCATCCATTTCTCATTACCCATCATAGCACTCATCACCATCGTATATTTCCCATGACCCATTCCCCATCACATCACCCACCATCACCCATCATATCATTATCCATCACGATATTCTGATCTCCCACCACGATCGCCTACCCCACCGTCCCAGTTACTACCCACACACATCGTCACCATCACAATAATGCATCGCACGCTACTTCACGCCCATCACCGCTACCATCACCTAACCCCCATAACTCATGACCATCATCAAAGACAAAGATCCCCCGTATAGCCTTACCAGACTGTAGGGGCAAGTGTTGTTAGCGAGCCCTATAAAGGCCGGCATGGCACATGAGGGGGTGGGTGGCCAACACCACGCCCGGCCGCCTTTGTCTCTCTCGTGGCGAAATTTACACATCGCACCAGGTTCTCAATTGAGGCTGAGTCGACCTAGGGGAGGCCCAGGACCGGTTCAGGTTAATGACCACCATCATCACCACCACCACCATCACCACACACATTACCCTTCTCCTATTACCCGTAGCTCAAAAAGCCACCGTCACAACCACCGCCTTCGAACATCTTCGCTGGCTCCCTCATCGCACGGCCCGCATGGCACAGACTTCTTCTGCTGCTGCTCCACGTGGGGGGAGGGGTGTGGGGGGGGGGTTGCCCCCCCCCCCCCGCTGTGTCCGCGTGAACAGAGCCCCTACAACCGATGCAGGAGACGCCCCTCCTGCTTCAGCAGCAGCAGTGGAATCATTTCCCCCGCGTGAATTATGAATGCGGCGGCGCATTTAGTGGGGGGGGGGGTGCAGAGGGCCGGGGGTGTGGGGTGCTGAGTGCGATGGGGGGGTGCTGAGTGCGAAGGGGGGGTGCTGAGTGCGATGGGGGGGTGCTGAGTGCGATGGGGGGGGGTGCTGAGTGCGATGGGGGGGGTGCTGAGTGCGATGGGGGGGGTGCTGAGTGCGATGGGGGGGTGCTGAGTGCGATGGGGGGGGTGCTGAGTGCGATGGGGGGGGTGCTGAGTGCTGATGGGGGGGGGGTGCTGAGTGCGATGGGGGGGGGTGCTGAGTGTGATGGGGGGGGTGCTGAGTGCGATGGGGGGGGTGCTGAGTGCGATGGGGGGGTGCTGAGTGCGATGGGGGGGGGATGGGGGGTGCTGAGTGTGATGGGGGGGGGTGCTGAGTGCGATGGGGGGGGGGTGCTGAGTGCGATGGGGGGGGGTGCTGAGTGCGATGGGGGGGTGCTGAGTGCGATGGGGGGGGTGCTGAGTGTGATGGGGGGGGGTGCTGAGTGCGATGGGGGGGGTGCTGAGTGCGATGGGGGGGTGCTGAGTGCGATGGGGGGGGGGTGTGCTGAGTGCGATGGGGGGGGGGGGGTGTGCTGAGTGCAGGTTTGCTGGGTGCATGGTTCAGGGATGAGGATGTGAAGTTCGTGGTGCTTGGTGCGCTGGGCGTGCAGAGCGCGCGCGTGTGGAGAGCGGCCTTTGGAGGCGTTCGCGAACAACACTTGCTCCTACAGTCTGTGCAGGCTACACGGGGGTTCTTTGTCTTTGGGGAGCGGGAGTGTAGCGGTTAGCGCTACGCTGCTCTGCAAACCCGGCGACCCGAGTTCGATTCCCGCTCACGGCCAACACCGGCGACGATTATCTCAACCGGTCCTGGGCATCCCCTAGGTCGACTCAGCCTCAATTGAGAACCTGGTGCGATGTATAAAAACATCGCCACTGGGGAGACAAAGGTGGCCGGGCGTGGTGCTACTCGCTTCCAGCGCTTGCCCCAACAGTCTGTTGAGGCTAGACGGGGGATCTTTGTTTTCTGTGCCCACCGTCCAGGATGGGGAGGAGTTTGTGCTGTGGGTAAGGGGTGCTGGGTGTTGTTGAGAGCTGCCGGACGCTGCCTGGTGCAGGGTGGTGTTGGGTCGCTTGTGCTGGGGCCGGTTGGGGGTGCAGGGGAGGCGTTGAGGCTGTGACTGGCTTAATGATCAACACGGAGGGGGGCGGTGATGATTTAACAGAGAACAAAGGCAGATGCCCCTGCTTCAGCATCCAACGCGAACCCCATCACGAACCCCCATCCACAACCCTTACCCCATCGCTAACTCCATCGCTAACTCCAACCCTTACCCCACCCCTAACCCCATCCCTAACATTAACCCCTAACCCCATCCATAACCCTAACCCCCTACACCTAACGTTAACCCCATCTCTAACCTCTATCCCTACCCCTAATCCCACCCATAACCCCCACCCCTACCCCCGTCTCTAACTCACGGCCCGGCCACCCCGTGGCTGGTCCCC